AAACAGCGTGGATGTCCCGGCTTCTGAGACTCATTCAGCCACTGTATGTAGATTCTTTTTAGTAACTGTGCTGTATCAGCTGGAGAACTTGGAGGCTTTTATTGGTAAGTGTTTAGACTGTAAGTTACTTCTTAAAATTCTCTTTTATTTGGCACTTACTGAGAAGCAGGCACTGAGCAAAGAACTTCATATAAATTATTTCTGCTAATCTTTGTAATAACTGTTTTATTCTCAGAAGTAGAAACAGATTGAAAGAGGTTAGTCCTATGCCCAAGGTTTCCCAGCTAGTACCTGGCCGAGCTGGGTTTTACCTCCCTTATCACAAATCCTGTCCTTTTCAACATTTCTCTGTGCTGTTACCCAAATCAAGAATGAACATATAATACCTGACCACGATTCTTGTGCTTAACACACACATACATGCATTTTAAAGCTGGCAAATGCTGAATGTACTTTTTTTTTTTTTTAATCCTCACCAGAGGACATTTTCGCATTTATCTTCAGATAGAGCAGGAGGGAGAGAGGGAGGAAGAGAGAGAGAAACATCGACGTGAGAGAGACACATTGAGTGGTTGCCACCTACATGACCACAACCAGAGCCGGGGACAAACTGCAACCGAGGTACGAGCCATTAGTGGGAACCGAACTCGGGACTCTCTGATCCGCAGGCCGACGCTCCAACCACTGAGCCAAACTGGCCAGGGCTGGGCTGCACTTTTTAGTCACTTATTCAAGGGGAACTACAGGCATTTCTTTTAAAAGTTATTTTTCCTGAATTGAAAGAGAACTTCTGATGATCAAATCAATTTTGGAGAATAAATACAATTAATAAAAACAGCTGAAATTCTATTTTCAGATCTACTAACCATGTAAAACGATTTTTCTTATATTGATTCCACCTCAGCTCCCTGGCTTCACAGTTCAAATCATTTGTAGTTTATCTCAAAGTGCCAAGAAAAGAGGCATGAAACGATTTCTGCTGTGTTGTGTGTCCCTGTATATTCAGCCTCTCCCCTGTTATTAGGCATCAGAAACGGTGCTCCGCCTCTGGGGATAGTTCTCTTAGAGGGGACGCCGGCATCCCAGGGGTTGGGCCGAAGGTGAATGTTAGGTCTGCCTACTCCCTGCCGTGCTTGAGAAGTAAGCACAGAGCCAGAGCTGCTGTTCGTTTGCGGAATGAGTCCTGCAGGGATGCTAATTGATCTGCCCCTGGAGAGAAGCGAGCTGCTGTTGGTTGTTAAAGGAAATAAAATGGGAGGTCACAGAAACAAGCCAGTCATTTCAAAGCTGACTTCTAGGGGCTTTCTAGTAAGGTACGGGACAAAAGCACCGCATCACAGGAGGGGCGTTTGGGAGGGGGAGGGTCTTTGGTCTGGGCATCCATTACCCAAACATAAGCGTGTCCCCAGATGAGGTCCTCTGCGTTTATTTTTAGCACTAATTCATGATGTACGTTGTGATTCGGTAAACATCAAATGATAGTATATGTGGTTTCCTTGGCTCCTAGGGAATTTCACTCTTCTCCTCTCCTAGGCTTTCTGGTACTTTCTTCTGTCTTCCTTGCCTGCCCCACTTTTTCTACCAACCAGAAGGGATTCGGTGTTTCCTGAACTTGGCTTTGACCCAATTCTCTTCTCTTGAAAATCTCTTTTAGTGATCTCACCCACTTCTGAGGCTTCAATAAGTAGAAAAATGTTGTAAGAATGTGTGTGAAATAGAAAAAGGAACAGATGAGGCATTATTCAACTGATGAGCACCTAAGCCTTTGTGTGCCAGAGACCCCTGGCCGTCAGAGACCCTGTGGCCTTCATCCTTGGGTAATGGTTTTAAGTGAAAATACATAGAATTGCAAAGGAAACCAATAATGTTGAAATACAGTGATCAAAATATTTAAAAGAAATTCAAGTAAGACATTTTCAGCAATAATTCATGAAATAAGGTCTGATGACTACCATAATTTTAAAGTAGCGGTGAATGGTAGGAGATGTTGGCAGTAACAGGCAGTAACCCCCGAATTCCACGGATCCAAGGTTGAGGACAACTGTTCCAAGATTTCTAAGAGAGATTGGGTGTTGATAATGAGGGAGGCCCAGCCTAGTTTGGGGGCATAGGGAAGTCGATGGGAAGGGATGTCTAAATTAGGACTTTGAACATTATTGAGAGATAGTTCAATGAGTAATGTAGGAATGGGAATTGGGAAAATGCATATGATATGCCAAAGTCTAGAGAGAATAGCAGGGAAGGAGAAAAAGATGTCTAGTGTGGCTTTGATGTAGAAAAAAAAAAGGCATTTGAGTCCAACGAGGCTGTGAAGAGGCAGGGCCAGACTGGTAAGCACTGTCAATCATGTTGGGGGCGGGGCAGGAGGTTGGAGGAGATGTCACCCTAAGAACAGTGGAGAATCCCATGAGAATTTTTTATCAGGCAGGAGAATACTTAGATTTATATTTTTAAATGATGAACCCAACTGTAGTAAGGAGATGTTTTGGAGGGTAGAGAATTCATGTATGGAGACATCGGAGGTGGTTGTAGGAGCTCTGGTAGAAGATATGGTGGCCCTGCAGGAAAATCTCAGCTGTCATTGGCTGTATGTTTCTACTTTACCTGCTGCTCATGCCCATCAAATACTAAGTCTTTTAAGATTTAGTTTCTAAAGTCTCCATGACATGCCTGCCATCCCTTCTACTCCTATTGACGTAAGTCAAACTTCCCATTTTTCTTTCCTGAGCTATTCCGACAGCCTCTACTGTCTGCTGGCCTGTCATCTTCTACTGTCCTTTATTCCTTTCCATTGGTGCACAGGTGAGCCGTCCAACTTAGCCCTGCAGAGGCCCTTGGTTGTTCTCAGATGCATCAGAAGTAAGGCCAGAGCCCCGTTCCTGGGTCACAAGCACACTGTGGATGCTGCCAGTCTTCCTTGTCATGGCAAGCTCCTCCATAGCTGTCCTACCTCACCCTCCCCTGGGCTCACCAGCTCACGAATGTCCAAACACCCTGTGGTTTACAAGTTCTCCCCTCGTCTCTTCCAGCTCACCCATAAAAATTGGATCTCTGCAGACTCATTTCAAGTCCCACTTCCTCCAACTCTAGATGTTTCCAACCAGAATTCATGTTTCCTTTCTACCCATGCCCCAGTGATACTGTAGATGACCCTGGATCCATCTAGTTTATCTTCTTGCTCTTGTTTCACCATTTCTTAGAATCTATTTGAATCATCATGTATGACACAGGCTGTCTCACTAGACCATACATTCCAGAGGACCAGGGAGATTGGCCATAGTCATGTCTGTGTTCTGTGCAATGATTTGCCTGTTCTCTGCTTGTAAGTGCTCAACAAATGTTAAATTCAACCATTGGTTGGGGGGACCCCGAAATTGTGAGTTTCTGGGTCACATGCCCAGACCCTGTTCTGGCTATGACATTCATCAAACACACAAGGACATTTCACCAAGAGCATTGTTTTTGTTTCTGAAACTGGCAAAATGGAACAGGTCTCATTAAGAGACACAGTGAACAGCTTTATTGAGAGGTGCTAGATTCCATGTTGGAACCTAAAATTCATTCTATAAGTATTTTTTTTTTCTTTATTGATTTTAGAGAGAGAGGAAGTGAGAGGGGGAGGGAGATAGAAACATTGATGAGAGAGAACATCAACTGGCTGCCTCATGCATGCCCCCTACCCACCCACAGGGATCGGACCCACAACCCGGGCATGTGTCTTCACCAAGAATCGAACCAGCGACCTCTTGGTGTATGGGTCGATGCTCAACCACTGTGCCACACCGGCCGGACTACAAGTATTTCTTGAGCCCTAATTATGAGTCCGGCACTGAGATGCACAGCTATGAATTCAACAGATCTCTGGTCCAGCCAGTGTGGCCCAATGGTTGAGCATCAACCCATGTACCAAGAGGTCACCTGTTCGATTCCTGGTCAGGGCACCTGCCCAGGCTGTGGGCCTGATCCCCAGTGGGGGGGGGGGGCATGCAGAAGGCAGCTAATTGATGTTCTCTCTCATCAATGTTTCTATCTCTCTCTACTCATGTTCTCTCTCTCTAAAATCAATAAAGGGGAAAAAAAAGAAAAAGAAAAACAGAGCTCTGTTCTGGGAGCACTTACTGCTATCTGTCTTTATAAGAGTTTGGAGTTTTCCATCCAGAGTTCAGGAGAATTTACATTTCTTAAACTGGAAAAAATTGTTCATTTCTTTATTGAAATGTTATGTGTTGCCTGGTTGAGTCAGAAGTAGAAACTATACAGCCTTCGTTGCAACACCAACGAGATCCAGGCATAGTGAATAGATATGTTGTCAATATATCGGGACATATAAAAAGGGAAAACACATTGATTAGGAAATTGCTCACCATAGTTTGTTTAGGGCTTGAATATTACTGTTATTTTATGTATTCTTTACTCCATCTTTAATAAAGCCCTGGAACAGGCAGGTTTTAAAAATTCTTTCTCAGAATCATTTTGTGCCTTAGACTGGGAAGCATCAGTAGAAGTGTTAAGCAATAATCATAACATTTATTATTTTTATTTTTTAACAGTAATAAAACTAGTAATATTTTAGCTTATAAAGTAGTTTTGATATATGCCCAACATTGTGCTAGAAACTGAAGATGTGCTCACAGAAGCAGTATCTTATGGAAGAGTTGCATTGCTATAAGGAAAAAAATATTATTAGGGGAAGATGCTGTGTGGGAAGCTCAGAATTTTTGTCAAGGCTAGTTCGAAGCTGGACATTAGAGACATATCCCATGATTTTATGAAACACGAATGCTAACTGGGAGAAACAGAGCGTAAACTCCTGGAACATAATAGATGAGCACAGGGGACATGTTTAAGAGGACTTTGGTGGAAACTGCAAATCATGAGAAATGTATACATTCAGAAGGAGTGAGAAGTATGTTTCAGATGTCTCTGTATGCATGTATAACAATCTGTGGCTTCGAATTTGACTAGATTTTGTATGTTTGTTTTTCAAAATCTTTTCTAAGAATTGCCCTGGTGGAAAATATTCCTGAAGGCCTTAACTATTCCGAAAATGCACCATTTCACTTATCACTTTTCCAAGGCTGGATGAATTTACTCAACATGGCCCAAAAGTCTGTTGACATCGTGTCTTCTCATTGGGACCTCAACCACAGTCATCCATCAGCGTGTCAGGTAAGCCACATCCTCTGCACGGGTGAGGATTGTACTGATGTGCATTATGCTTCTTAGTAGTCTTGCCTCCACCGCTCAAGTCCAAGCTCCTTTTTTAGTCTACTGCCACCTGTAGTATGTGTACGTCATTACATTTATGCGTATGTACTGTTGTTAATCATATGTCGCTCAGCTTTAGCTGGAATGCTTGGCTTTCAAGGGCAAAGTCATGTTTCATCTTTACTAGCATAGGCTCTCTATACAGTGCTGCTGTGTTGGGAGCTTCGGGGGGTGCTGTCTACATCATGGTGGCTGTCAATGGCGTGCCAGAGAACTCTTCTTTGCACCACATGGACATTTATAGTTCTAAGTCCATGACTGCTTGCTGAGGCGTTTGCTTGGTCCATTGGTGTCAAAATTTGCCTTTGGGACCCAGAGCCGATTTGTTTTAATAGTAGAGTCAAACATTCCAGTAGAGTTGTATATTCTTTTTCCTTTAATTTTTCAATTTTAGTTGACATACAATGTTATATTAGTTTCATGTGAACAGCACAGTGATTAGACATGTCTGTAACTTATGAAATAATCACACCATTTAAGTCCAGTACCCACCTGGTACCATGCATAGTTACTACAATATTATTGACTATGTTCCCTATGCTGTACTTTACATCCCCAGGACTATTTTTACAACTGAAAATTTAAACTACTTAATTAGTTGGATATTATTGACTTTCTCATATTTGCATGAATAGGAAAAAGAAAAGTACTAATTCTAATGACAAGTACAACCTGTAGAAAACTGACTAGATGGTCTAAATGCTTTCTGAATGAAATGCCCTGGAGAGAAATTATTCTGGTCATCTTTAGTGTGTTTCCCTTTGTATATTGGCATGATCACGATAGCACTGATCTATCCAGGCTATCCAATCCAAGCAGATGACCTATAATTAAATGTCCTGTACATTCAAGGATGAAATGTTCTGTCTCTTTGTACACAGAATGTGCTGGCAATGAGCCTATATAGGCATACCTCATTATATTGCACTTTGTTTTATTGCATTTTACAAAATGTTGCATTTTTTTTACAAATTAAAGGTAAGACCCTCCACCAGCAAAAAGATTAGGACTTGCCTTATTGCAGTGGTCTGAAACCAAACCTGCAATATCTTCAAGGTATTCCTTCAATAATTGCCTCATTGGTGCTTTAAAATCTGTTGTTCAACTATTTTAAACTAAAAAGATATCAGAAAATAGGCAAAAACAAACAAAAAACCACAAGGGCTATACTAAAGAATTGAATAAATTTACTACAGATGTTCCTTGAATTATGATGGGGTTACGTCCTGAGAAACCCATCATAAATTGAAAATATTGTAAGTTGAAAATGTGTTTAATACACCTAACCGACCAAACATCATAGCTCACTCAGCCTAGCCCATCTTAAACAGGTGAAGAACACTTACATTAGCCTGCAGTTGGGCAAAATCTTCTAACACAAAGTCTATTTAATACTAAAGTATTGAAAATCTCATGCAATTTATTGAACACTATACTGAAAGTGAAAAGCAGAATGGTTGGTTGTATGGGTATTGCTTTCACACCACTGTGAAGCTGAAAAATTGTAAGTCGAACCATCATTGGTCAGGGACAGTCTGCAATTGTGTTCTGCGCTTTTTTACCTCTATTGATAAAGCAGATATTTCAGGTACTTATTGCTACATATATTATCCCCAAACTTATTAATTTAAAAAGTAACAATCACATATTTTTCATGATTCTGGGAAGGGTTTGGCAGAGAGAACTTGGCTGAGGTAGCTTGCCTGGGGCTGGAGGATCCAAGGTGACTTTTCTTCCTTATCCAGCATCTTTCCCAGGGTGGCTGGGATGTCTGGGGGCTGCCTGAAGCTCTCTCTCTGCATGTGTTTCTCATCATTCAGTAAACTAGTCTGAAATGCTTTATATGGTGGCTGTATCTTAACAGGGCAATAGCAGAAACTGCGAGTCTTCTTAAGGCCTAGGCTCTGGAATCCCAGTTGCTTTCACCCTATTCTATTGATCAAAGCAGGTTACAAGTGCAAGATGAGAATGAGGGGCATTGTTGACAGGAATCTTTAGAAATTATATACTGCAGCCCACTGTGGCCATAACCAATTCATATCTCTTCCACATACAAAATGCACCCCTGTGTCCCCCTAAACTTTGATCCTGTTACAGCAGAGGCTCAAGGTCCAGGATCTCTCTGTCTGCATCAGGCTTGCATCTGGGTGGGTGAGGCTCCTCCTGTGCATTTCTCTTAATTTGGAACCCTGTGAACTAAAAGGACAAGTTATGCGCCCCCAACACACAGTGATGGAACAGGGTAAGATAACAAGAGTAGATACGTCTGTTCAAAAGAGGGGAAATAGAGAGCACATCAATCATGAGTCCATAGCAGTTTTGAAATCCAGCCGGACACGTACCAGTTTTCCAAACTCTGGAATCAGGGACATTTTCTAGAACTGGCTTCTTTACTGTTTAAAACCAGATGGTTTTCTGTAGAGCAGCAATTTTCAACCTCTTTCATCTCATGATATACTAATTACTAAAGGTCTGTGGCATGCAACAAAAATGTATTTTTTGCTGATCTGACAAAAAAATAGATATAATTTTCATTCATTCACACTAGATGGCTATTGTTGTGTTGGCTGTTGTATTTTTTTTTTTTTTTGACAATCTAAAGGAAAGGGGTCAGTGCCCATGACGAAATAGTCAGGTATTGCATCTTTTTAAAATTCTCCTGGCGCACCAGTGTACCTCTTGCGGCGCTGGTTTAAAAATCACTGCTGTAGAATACTGAGCCTAATTTCTCTGAGTCTTCACAAGGAGAGAGATGCATTTTCAGACATGAGATTAGAGGGGCTTTCCCTGCTTTGGAAATTAAATGGATTCAAGCAGGCTACGAGGCTGATCTCGCGAGCAGCTCCCACCTCTCTTGCCGATTCTTGGTCCCCAGTACCATGCCCTGGGGGAGTGGGAGCAATGTGAAGGAGTGAGGTCATCAGCAGTATTTGGAGGGTCTATAGCTCAGCAAGATAGGGAATGTTCTCTTCTTCCTCTAGTCCTTTGGTAGCCTAGTGATTGTTACTAGGAATCCCATGCAGTTTTCCTCACTGATCAAACACCAGGCATGAGTGTGGTCTTTAAAGAGAGATACTCAGTGGATTGAGCATCATCCCATGAACTGACAGGTCCAGGTTTGATTCCCAGTCAGGGCACATGCCCAGGTTTTGGGCTCGATCCAGTGGGGGGCGTGCAGGAGGCAGCCAATCCATGTTTCTCTCTTACATCGATGTTTCTCTCTCACATCGATGTTTCTCTCTCTCTCTCTCCCTCTTGGTCTAAAAAAGTCAATAAAGACATTTAAAAAATAAAATAAAGAGAGAGCAAGTCTGTGGAACAGAGACCACTTAGTGCCTGATTTGCTCCATTTTGCATCTTTCCTCATCTGATTCTCAACCCCTAGAGCAGTATTCGAAATAGGACTTAGAATTTAAAGGGCCCAGGAGAACTTGTCTAAATACCACATGTCTTGGGCTTTTAAAGGTTATTTTAAAGAATCTGGTTCCTCTCCTTTCTCCCCTCTGACCATGAGAGTGGGGGACAGTTGTGCAAATACCAGGAATGGAGAAAGGAAAGCAGGTTCGTGACGCCACATTGCTCTCTTTGTTTGGGTGCAGTTTAAGAACCCCCACTTCCTTTTCTCTGCAGGCCACCAAGTTTTACCACTTCTGAAAAAGCAGGTACTGACTGAAAGCCTGTTTGATTTAAATGTTACCTGATTTAAGCTCCCAAATGGAATAGAAAATTCAAGACTCTACCAAAATGTCAAATTTTGGGTGGCCAATTTTTGGACCTGTGAGCACACTCTTATTTTCACTAACACCTTATAAATATTGGCATATGATCATTGATTGCCTCTTGGATTAAAAAAAATGCTAGGAGAAAATTCACATCCTAATTATTCAAGTGGGCCAATTTAAATCATCTTTTAAGATGTTCCGGTGTGTCCTCGCTGGTTTGGCTCAGCTGTTAGAGCATGACCTGTGAACCGAAGGGTCTCGGGTTTGATTCCAGTCATGGACACGTACCTGGATTGCAGGTTTGATCCCCAGGCCCAGTTGGGCTCGTGAGGGAGGCAATCAATCTATGTGTTTCCCTCATATCTATGTCTCTCTGTCCCTCTCCTCCACCCCATCCCGCCTCCTCCCTTCCACTCTATCTAAAAATCAATTGAAAAATATCCTCGGGTGAGGATTAAAAAAAAAAAAAGATGTTCCAGTGTAATGAAAATTGGTTCAGGTTCACAGCTTATTTTCCATTAACATTTGTTTAAAGAAAATATTTTTATTGAAGGGATCTAGAATAGTGAAACATGACATTTACTCCTAAATCAGCAGAACTTGAAAAGTCCTAAACGGAAACCATAAATGGCACATAGATAAATATAACTAGAAGCAAAAAATGCCCATCTACTTACTATAACGTGACTATGAGCAAAATGCACCAAAGAATAACCCAGCTAGTTATAGGCTGGGCCCAGCTCAGCTGAAAAGGGACCCAGTAAACATGGCACATGACATCTGTGTCTTCTCTGGACAGGAAACAGTTTCCTAAGAGTGAGTGATGGTCGTTATTAACAGAATGATGAATGCCTGCTGTTTCTTTTTCATTTTCGTGGAAACAGACCCAGTCATTAAAAATGCATCTTTGATCTGTGTTGCCCAAGAGTTTCGGTTTTAATTCCCACCCTGCAAAGCTCGTCTTTCCTGCCCCTTTGTGTGTGTTTGCTCTGTGCTGGAAGAGCAGTGACCTTCCTTGGTGTCACAGCCCGGTAAGGACTAGCAAGGTGTACGGGCTCATGGTAACCATGTTTTCACATTTAATCTAACTACATGGTCAGGCAACAGGTTTTGTTTCTTTCTGTCTGATGATGAGTTTAGACCCTGAAATATTGAAATTTCTAGGACAACTTGATTGCT